TTATTATATATATATATATTATAATTATATTGTTATTTAATACTATATTTTATTATTATTATTATTATTATATAACAACTAAAGTATTAGTGACAGTCAGATAACAAAACTTATTATTTAAATAAAATAATAATATTTTATAGACAGATATTTTTTGAACATGAATTTTATATAATAAAATACTTGTACTAATAATAATTATTACTTTATATAAAATACTATAAAAATATTGTATATATATTCAATATTTATATATATATACATACAGTATAACATGTTTAGACATATCCGCATAAAAAATATAGATATAAAACATATTCAATATGATATACAAATAAATGTTTTATGAAAACATATACTGTATATATATATATATATATATATTATATAACATACAATATATATATATATTATTGTTTCATATGTTAAATTGTTATTGTTTGGCTTAACAATAATATTATTTTAAGTTTTTTTTAACAAACAAAATGTATTTTTTTCAATGAATTTGAAAATTAATATTATTAGTAATATGTTTAAATAGTTATTTTGTTGAAATATTTGTATTGATATTTAATTAGTATATACTTAATAAATAAGAATAATAATAATAATATCAGACACTCTAACAAAACTAAAAATAATAATTATTTAATACTTATTTAGTATTAAGTGTATTATACTGTATTACATATATAAATTATTAATATAATGCATTAATATTAATGATAATATAATGCAATTTATAGCTTATATTTATCACTATTAATAGGTTATAATTATACTTATTATTATTATTATTAATTTATTATTTAAAAATTATAGTTATCAGAAAATATAACAATGATTGACAATGAATTCTCTATTACTTTGGAAATACTTAATATATTAAATTTCACGTAATATAATATACTAATAATTTTTTTTAAAAAAATAATATTTATTTTACAAATTTAAACTAATACTGTATTTATTATATAGTTTACATTTAATACCATTTTATGGCGGAGCAGGTGATTTAATCAATGGAAATTGGACTGGAATTATGAAAAAATTCTATGATAAAGTAAATTAATTTAAAAAAAATTATTATTATTGTTATTTAATTACTTTTTAACTTAAAATTTTTTATTAATATATTTTCTTTTAAAAATAATTAATCAATTTATTAATAATTATTAATATATATATATTTATTATTATTATTAATTAATAATTATTATTATTATTAGTAATTAATTATTAATTATTAATTATTAATTATTAATTATTAATTATTAATTATTAATTATTAATTATTAATTATTAATTATTAATTATTAATTATTAATTATTAATTATTAATTATTAATTATTAATTATTAAAATTTTTCTCTATATTACAGTCAATCGATATAATTTTGGCTCCAATTGTCTATAATAACTACAGATTAGAAATATCCGATTTTTTATACCCGACAACAATAACTAATTTATTATCAATTTTATCTGGCGATCAAACTGGTCTGACTAACCACTACAATTTATTACCAAATTTTCAACTAAAAATATGGCTTATCATAATCATTTTGTTTATTGTATTTAACATATTAGCTTGTTTGAATGCATTGATATCTAGTAAAAATAATAATAATAATAATTTTACTAATACCAAACCATTTAATATTAAAAAGTTTGCAATAGTTTCACTGTTTGATCACCTATTGACATTAATTGGGCAATGTAACTAAATTTAATTATATAATTTAAAAAATTAAATATACATAAAAAAATTCAAATTATAATTCAATAAATATATATATACGATAACAATGACAGTCGATGACAAAATTGGTGAACATGGTTTTTTAGTATATCTTTAGAATGAAAAGGAATTATAATAAATTTTATTTGCTACTATTATTTATTGGGACTATCATTTTTTTGTATTTTCACTTTTTATGTATTTGGGCTTATGTATGCAAGGATAGGGATGGTCAATATCTCGTAAACTATAATAAATATTAAAATTCTATAGATTGCTAATTATATTATATTAAAAATATATATATATATATATATATATAGGAAACTTGTTTTGGCATTTTTAATTAAATTGTACAGAATTAAAAGTAAAATTAAGTTGACCATTGCAAACAAGAAATTTTACTATATCATAACTTTTAAATGAATCAATATATCATGATTTAGTTAATTGATTGTAAATTAGTAAATTCTGTACAATTTAATTAAAAATGCCAAAACACGTGTCCTATATATTTATTTGATATAATATAATTAGCAATTTATAGAATTTTAATATTTATTATAGTTCACGAGATATTGACCATCCCTATCCTTGCATACATTAGCTCAAATACATAAAAAATGACAATAATTAAATGACCGTCCCAATAAATAATAGTAGTAAAAATTTTTTTTTTATAATTCCTTTTCATTCTAGATATACAAAAATAACTTTGTTCACCAATTTTGACATAGACTGTCATAGTTATCATATATATATATATATATATATATATATATATATAATATTTATATTTATTGAATTATAATTTGAACTTTTTAAAAAAATAAATAAATAAATATTTATTATTTTAGCTGTTATTAGTACTCATTTAATCGACGGACTAATGGGAAAACTACTATTGACATTATGGCTGATTATTTGTTTCATATGGTTACAGTTATTTAAAAGCTTACAATTAACAGAATACTTTAGACAACCCAGATGTTTTATAGATAAATTTGATGATCTAATCACCTACAACAATCATAATAACTTAATTATTTTAGTTGATAAAACAAGCTATTTATATAAAAACTATATTTTCGTATGTATAATATATATTTTAGTTTATTTTTTTAAAAAATAAATATTTATAAATTTATATTAATTATATAATTAATTTTGTTAATTTAGAAACAATATCCAACAATGAATTATCAAACTATAACAATGTTTGATAATATTAATCAACTAATAATAAATGGTCAGTATATACAATTAGACACTGAGGATAACATTGAACGGGTTATCAATAAAAATCCGGGCCTACCATTACATAAATCATTAGACAATCAATTACTACAGATTGCAGGGATATGTGTCAGAAAATCACTCAACGATAGTTTAAAATCAGTAATAAAACAAAAGTATTTATATAAATTTTTTATTTAATATATTTTTGTTTTGTAATAAAATTAATTATATTAATATATATATATATTATTATTTATTTTTCTACAGATTTCAAACTATTTGGGAATCAGGAGTTATACTATATAGAGATAAATTAGAAAATATAAAATATACATTTGAATTAATACATAATAATAATAATAATAATAACAACACTAATAATAATAATAATAATAATCCATTAGATGTTCATACAATTAATTTGGATGATTTTAAATTATTATTTCAATTATTTTTTTATGGTTTATCATTAGCTACTATTGTTTTAATTTTTGAAATATTTTATTATTTTTATCTATATAAATTAAATGAGATTTAGTATGCAAATAATTACATTATTAATATTTCATTAACCATTTATATGTTATTGTTTAATATCCGACCTATCGGATACAATATCGTCATCATCATCATCGTAGACATACCGTTCCCCGCTGATGGTCAACATGTAGGTCCAGGCGCCCTGTATGCCGCCAATGTGTGGACCGATAACACCGGCAGTCAGCCAATAGAGACATTGAACGGGTCTATTAAAAAATAATAATAATTATTAATTAATTAATTAAATGTATGTTTTTATTAAAAGTTATTTTTTTTAATGTTTATATATTAAGTATTAAATTTTTTTTTATATAAAAATGCAATTATAAAGTTGCAATTATAAAATAATAATAATAAGTAACCAAATTAAACATTATTTCAAATATTAATATAATTAATATATATATGATATATATATAAATGTTTACAAATATTTAATTATATAATAAACAAAACTTATAATAATTTAATATTTTGTTTTATATATTATATTATTTGTTGTTATTGTTGTTGATAATAAATTATATTTATATATATTTTTTAAAAAAATAAATATTTTTATTAACTTTATTGTGTTTGTATTAAAATGATAGCATAATTGCAAACATAGTTAACAATTAGCAATACAGTCATATCAGTCAAATAAAACATATTCAATACACGGAACCGGAATCCATGTTTCAAACCAATCACTGACTGGAGATAACGGTAGCTATCAGTTGAGTGATACTGTTGGCTAAGTTGACGTTCAATCAGTCGACACAGTCGACTGGCCGAGTCATACACCAATTGAGATGATCGACACATTACCCATACGTCCGCAAACGATACTATCAGATACATACCGATTCCCAACAGGTTTGACCAGTTCATCGGTACGACTACTAGTACGCACACTATGGATGACATGGCTATAGAGTTGACTAGTAGTTTGATAAATATGATCCAGCTCAATAGTTGGCTTAATTTATCCAGGTTATCACGTATGTCTAGTATACTATCGTATAGTTGTTTGGTGGTGTTAGTGGTGGAGGTGCTGGTGTTGGTGGTGATGGTTGAATTTGTTGTAGTTGTTTTTTGATGGTAATTATTAATAAAATTTGATGTTAGACCTAGTTGATTTAAATTATTATTATTATTATTATTATTATTATTATTATTATTATTATTATTATTATTATTATTATTATTATTATTATTATTATTATTATTATTATTATTATTATTATTATTATTATTATTATTATTATTATTATTATTATTATTATTATTATTATTATTATTAGGGTATTTTTAATATTTAGTTACATTAATATATATATAAGTCTAATATAAATATAAAATTATTTAAAAAATTAATTAATTAAAGAAATAAAAAAATTATTTATATTATTCATTAGTTTACAATAACAACAACACTAATAACAATAATAATAATAATAAAATTAAATACAAACATTAATAAATATTATTTAATATATTTGTATACATATTGTACTTTTTAACTAAATTTAATTTTTTTTAAAAATTAATTAATTAATGGTTTCATCAACCCATCAGAGTAATGATTGTGAAGATCCAAGTGTTTTATCATCATGTTGCCATTGATTGGTATTAATTATGCTTGATACTATATTTATAATAAAAATAATTAGTTAAATAAAAATAATTTAATAATTAATAATAAGTCGAAGTATATAGTAATCGTTCAAATAAAAAAAAAAAAATGTGCGCCAGCTATACCTCCTTGAAACGCACCGTTAAAAACATTTTTCAGTTTTTTATCTTTACTGACAAATCCTCCACCACTACCATCTTGAGGTTGCTGTTGCGGTCGTTGTTGTTGATCATCGTTTAAGACATGAGCCAACAATTGGATCACTAGTTTAAACTTTTTGGCCAACACTAGTTCGTCCTTATTATTGTCATTGGTGTCCGCATTGATTGTTGTTGTTATTACTTTAGTTTTTTTTTGGTTAAAAAAAATTTTTATTAAAAAAAATATGAAAATAATAATTATTTTTTTTTAGTTTTAAAAAATAAAATTAATATTTAATATAATATATAAATATAATTAAATAAAATCCTATAATAATAATTACCAAACAATGTTAGTATAGTTGTTAGACATATAATGTTTAGTTTAGWCATAATTCTATAGAAATTATTTATAATTAATAATTTTAAAATAGTTAAAATAAATAGTTAATAAAATATAAGCAACTTGATTTAGCTGAAACTAAAATCTAACTAATGTATTAAAATTAACTTAATATAAATATGTTTTTTTTTGATTAGCAAATAGACGTCAACTAAAAAATATTTTTTACTAAAAACTAAATTGATATCAATTTCATTAGACGTAACGGAACGTAACGCAAATGTTTTTTTAATATTTAAACTTGTTAAAATTTTATATTTCATATTAAATTATAGTCATAAATAATAAAGAAAAATAACAATTATTTATTATCAGTTATTTTTTTATCAGACAATAGTTTTTAATAATAATTTAGATTATACTAAATTATAAAAATAATATTTTTTTTATTTTGAATTAATATAATAGTAATAAATAGATCACTTTCAATTACAGATGTTTTTATTGTCTTATAATTTTATTTTTTTTAAATAAAATATTTATTAATTGTATTATAGATATATAGATAGTATTATAAATATTGTATTAATAATAATAAATCTATTAAATAAATATTACTAAAATATAAAGTTTAACAATAATTTATAATAAAATTTAGTCTTAAATAAGATTTAGAAGAAGATGTTATAGTATTGCCAAATACGGTATATTTTAATTTAATATATGATATAATGTAAATTAAAAGTTATTTATAAAATGTTTTAAGTATTTTAATTAATTTATGTATCATGTACTGCTATCTATTAATTAAATTTGTTAACTTCGATAATAAATGAGAAACTAATTTTTTAAACACATACACATACACATACACATACACATACACATACACATACACATACACATACACATACACATACACATACACATACACATACACATACACATACACATACACATACACATACACATACACATACACATACACATACACATACACATACACATACACATACACATACACATACACATACACATACACATACACATACACATACACATACACATACACATACACATACACATACACATACACATACACATACACATACACATACACATACAAACATACACATACACATACACATACACATACACATACACATACACATACACATACACATACACATACACATACACATACACATACACATACACATACACATACACATACACATACACATACACATACACATACACATACACATACACATACACATACACATACACATACACATACACATACACATACACATACACATACACATACACATACACATACACATACAAACATATACATACACATACACATACAAACATACACATACACATACACATACAAACATACACATACACATACAAACATACACATACACATACACATACAAACATACACATACACATACACATACACATACACATACACATACACATACACATACACATACAAACATACACATACACATACTCATACACATACACATACACATACACATACACATACACATACACATACACATACACATACACATACACATACACATACAAACATACACATACAAACATACACATACACATACACATACAAACATATACATACACATACACATACAAACATACACATACACATACACATACAAACATACACATACACATACAAACATACACATACACATACACATACAAACATACACATACACATACACATACACATACACATACACATACACATACACATACACATACACATACACATACACATACACATACACATACACATACACATACACATACACATACACATACACATACACATACACATACACATACACATACACATACACATACACATACACATACACATACACATACACATACACATACACATACACATACACATACACATACACATACACATACACATACACATACACATACACATACACATACACATACACATACACATACACATACACATACACATACACATACACATACACATACACATACACATACACATACACATACACATACACATACACATACACATACACATACACATACAAACATACACATACACATACACATACACATACACATACACATACAAACATACACATACAAACATACACATACACATACACATACAAACATATACATACACATACACATACAAACATACACATACACATACACATACAAACATACACATACACATACACATACACATACACATACACATACACATACAAACATATACATACACATACACATACAAACATACACATACACATACACATACAAACATACACATACACATACAAACATACACATACACATACACATACAAACATACACATACACATACACATACACATACACATACACATACACATACACATACACATACACATACACATACACATACACATACACATACACATACACATACACATACACATACACATACACATACACATACACATACACATACACATACACATACACATACACATACACATACACATACACATACACATACACATACACATACACATACACATACACATACACATACACATACACATACACATACACATACACATACACATACACATACACATACACATACACATACACATACACATACACATACACATACACATACACATACACATACACATACACATACAAACATACACATACACATACACATACACATACACATACACATACAAACATACACATACAAACATACACATACACATACACATACAAACATACACATACACATACAAACATACACATACACATACACATACAAACATACACATACACATACACATACAAACATATACATACACATACACATACAAACATACACATACACATACACATACAAACATACACATACACATACAAACATACACATACACATACACATACAAACATACACATACACATACACATACACATACACATACACATACACATACACATACACATACACATACACATACACATACACATACACATACACATACACATACACATACACATACACATACACATACACATACACATACACATACACATACACATACACATACACATACACATACACATACACATACACATACACATACACATACACATACACATACACATACACATACACATACACATACACATACACATACACATACACATACACATACACATACACATACACATACACATACACATACACATACACATACACATACACATACACATACACATACACATACAAACATACACATACACATACACATACACATACACATACACATACAAACATACACATACAAACATACACATACACATACACATACAAACATATACATACACATACACATACAAACATACACATACACATACACATACAAACATACACATACACATACAAACATACACATACACATACACATACACATACAAACATACACATACACATACACATACAAACATACACATACACATACACATACACATACACATACACACACACATACAAACATACAAACATACAAACACACACATACACATACACATACACATACACATACACATACACATACACATACACATACACATACACATACACATACACATACACATACACATACACATACACATACACATACACATACACATACACATACACATACACATACACATACACATACACATACACATACTCATACACATACACATACACATACACATACACATACAAACATACACATACACATACACATACAAACATACACATACACATACACATACACATACACATACACATACACATACACATACACATACACATACACATACACATACACATACACATACACATACACATACACATACACATACACATACACATACACATACACATACAAACATACAAACATACAAACACACACATACACATACAAACAAACACATACACATACACATACACATACACATACACATACACATACACATACACATACACATACACATACACATACACATACACATACACATACACATACACATACACATACACATACACATACACATACACATACACATACACATACACATACACATACACATACACATACACATACACATACACATACACATACACATACACATACACATACACATACACATACACATACACATACACATACACATACACATACACATACACATACACATACACATACACATACACATACACATACACATACACATACACATACACATACACATACACATACACATACACATACACATACACATACACATACAAACATACACATACACATACACATACAAACATACAAACATACAAACACACACATACACATACAAACATACAAACACACACATACACATACAAACAAACACATACACATACACATACACATACACATACACATACACATACACATACAAACATACAAACATACAAACACACACATACACATACACATACACATACAAACATACACATACACATACACATACACATACACATACACATACTCATACACATACACATACACATACACATACACATACAAACATACACATACACATACACATACAAACATACACATACACATACACATACACATACACATACACATACACATACACATACATACACACATACACATACACATACACATACACATACACATACACATACACATACACATACACATACATACACACATACACATACACATACACATACACATACACATACACATACACATACACATACGCATACACATACAAACATACACATACACATACACATACACATACACATACACATACACATACACATACACATACACATACACATACACATACACATACACATACACATACACATACACATACACATACACATACACATACACATACACATACACATACACATACACATACACATACACATACAAACATACACATACACATACACATACAAACATACACATACAAACATACACATACAAACATACACATACAAACATA